AAAAAACGCATTAATTGAGCCGGTCGTTTTTTGGTCTCGGCTCGAATAAGCAAAAAAACGCATTATTCAGTCCCATGTTATTAAACGGGCCGCCACATTACCCTCGTTCTCATAAACTTCTTAACCCTTATCGCCCAACAGGTGCACTTGAAGGGCGACCCGCCGCCGACCTGGACCGACGAACAATGTGAAACGCCCAGAGGAGACTTCTGCTTCCCTGGTACTTCCATGTAGTGCGATGGGAGGCTTGAAAGCGGAGGTCCGTGCCTCGTGTGTTGTTTTGTAGACGGTTTCGGCATTCGGGATGCCTGTAAATTTTTACGGCAGACCATATCAGGGACTCATCGGACCGTAGACATGACCACCTTTACCGAATCCATCGTATAATTGCCCGATTTGTGACACGCAGTGTCATCGCGCAGAGCTGTGCACGTCACGCATGTGTTCCGCCCCCAGAAACTCTCGAAGTGAAGTCACGATTTGCAAACGGAGCCTGAAGGCTCCAAGTTTCGCCATTGAAGATTTTTCAGTTTCATCATCGACTGGATGTATAATTCAGAGATATTTAGAGGCAATTGCTGACACCAACTTGTGCCAGGATCGGAGCTTCGGTGGGGACACCATGCCTCTTCCTTCGAAGGCATGGATGTTGAGAGCATGCCATCGGGTGTCTCCTTGCCACCCGACGGCGCGATGCACTACCATCACGTGGAGAACTTGGACAGGTTCATGGAGGAATCGCGGCTGCAAATGCACACAAGCCCTAGCTATACTTCTGGATGTAGTAGCTGTTCACTATAACAGGCACGGATCCATATTCGAATTGTTGTTGTTGATCCTATCACTTCGGGCATTTGCAATATGCAAAAGAGCGGGTTTGCTAGATCCATCTCCTGCTTGAGGCTGTGATTCAGGTCTAGGGGTTGCCCTTGAACCTCGGTGTGTTGCGCAGGCGAGGTGGTTAGGAGGTTTTTTATTGAATGGTGCGCTTCCGACTTGGCTGAACTAAGTGACATCTCTCTCTCTCTCTCTCTTGCTCTCGCGCTCCATCTGCCTGTGTTTGCTTCCTGCGCTCTCGCTTTCTCTCCCTGTTTCACGAATGCTCTCTCCCTCCCTCTTTGTCTCTCTTTCTGCCCCTCTCCCTCTCCCCTCTCCTCTCCCCTCCTCTCCCTCCCTTTCGCTCTCTCTCTCTCTCTCCCTTTCTCTCCCTCTCTCTCTCTCTCTGTGTCCACTCCACCGTCTGCAGGAGATGGCAAGATCGCCCCTATCTTTCAAGTGGAAGATACACAAGATGCGCCTGCAAGATCGCTTCCCCTTCTGCAGCCGTTGTCACCAAGCATGTGCAACCTTTTTTGCACAAGTCTTGTGACTTGATTTTCTAAGCTTGAGGTGCCCAGGGTGGCATTTTGCTTTTCATCCCGAGGCCCAAGTTCACTTTGTTATTAAGCAGCTATTGTGCAGCTGCATTTGCCGGAGGTCGGCCCCGGTGCGGGGTTTGGGTCCCGTCTCGAGTCGCTGGAGAGGTTGGAAGCGGGTGTTCCAAGTTATGTTCTGCCTCCGTTGATAGTATTGTTCGAGCTTCATACATACATACATACATATATACATACATACATACGTACCTACGTACCTACGTACATACGTACATACATACACATACATATATATATATATATATGTAGAATTACGGAATGATAGATGAACACAAGTTTGAATTATAATGTTCTCCCGGCTAGTGCAAGATAAGTTCATGGTACGCGTGCTGTCCGACAAGACGTAAGATGTAATACATCACAAGCAGTATATACAAGACAGAAGCATTATGTGGTATCTTGTATTCCCCAGCTAATAAACAGATTAATGTGAGCATTTGTGTATATATGTGTGTGTACACATATGATGTGTTTATGTCTTCAGTTACATTGCACATACTTCTATGTGTATATATATATATATAGTATCCCCTGAAACCTACTTCCAAGCCTTTCTGTATACATGTATGCTACCACATGTCTATACAAATGCACGCGCCCACAGGGATAAGTGTCTGGGAACATTGCTAAATCAACCGAAAGCGGCCGTAATTTTTGATCTTCCTGCACGCATCATCCTTCCTACTAGGGTTATGGGCTTTGGTGAACCAGTATGCCGAACCCCATATCTCTTTCATTGCACTGGTTTTGCCAGAATTGCCACTCGTCTAATACTCTTCTTTGCAATACCCTGAGTCGGTTGTGTGTTTGGTGGATCAGGGCATCCCTTCGAGGTTTTGCTGGTTGTCCACCCATCTTGTTCTCAAGCTGGGGAGCTTGCGTCCAATATCTCATGTTACAACAACCAACAACGAATCCGCACCACTCACTCCTGTTTAGGGCTATGGGTTTCGGTGAGCCAGTGTTCTTCACCATGTTATTCCCTCATTGGGCGCTGTTTGCCAAGGTTCACGGGCTGGGGGGGCCAGCCATCCATAGTTTTGTTTGATAACCTGCCACCAATCTACGCATTTTAACCATACCCTATTGAAGATTATGAGTTTAGGGCCACGCAACTTACCCGACTATCCCATCGGGTTTTGGAGGCGCAGTCACCCTTTGTAGGGTTTGGTGCTTAGTGTTGGTTGTCTGGGCACTAATTTGTTTAGGCGCGAACCCCTTTACTGAAAAGACTATTTTCCTGCACTGACAATCTACCGGGGAAGTGGACTTGGGGAACCCCATTTTTGCGAACCACACATCTCTTTCATTCCGTTGGTGTTTGACAGGGCTAAAATGGAAGATTTGCTGCTCGCAGCAGTGCCATGAGTTCGGCTGTGTATTTGGCGGGTCAGATCATCCATTTCGAGGCTTCGGAGGTTAGCCACCCAAACTAACCCTAACCCCCTCAGATACTTACTATATAGGGCCCTAGGGGCTTTAGTACCCTATATAGTAGGTACCTGGGGGGTTGGGGTAAGGTTGTGTTGTCCAACATCTCATGTTAGAGCAATTCGCAGCGAATCCGCATCACTCATGTCGGTTACGGCTATGGAGTTTGGGGGAACCAGTGTTCTTACCGGACATTGCCTTTCATCACATCGCTTTTGCCAAGGTTTATGGTCTTGGGGATCCAGCTATGGTCAGTTTTGATGATTTACCACTTCTCTACACGTCTTCACCATACCCTATTGAAGGTGATGGGGTTTGGGAACCGTGCCCTGCCTTCCGAATTGAGCTTTGCCATTCATCCCTCCTTGCCTAGGCTTTGGGGTTTCATGCTGGTGTGTTTAGGAACCAGTCGATCATTTTGAGGCCTCGGGTCTTCGGCATCTTTCACACGTCTAAACCCATCATGATCTGTTTCATTTTTGTTTTTTGGGGAACCATTTTTGATTATCGTTCCGTGCTTCGGGTCTATGAAATATGTACTCGGTCTGTGAAATATGTATTCCTATTTTCCGCTTGTGTCACCTACAGTTTGGTGTCTCGAATTATAGTTGCTGGGGAGCCAATTGGTCCCGGGTTTCGGGCCTGCGAACAGCAACTGCCAACTTGTCTGTCTCTTATGATTGGCTTCATCACCCATGCATCATCTAGTATTGGAGTTTGGATCGCTTATGACATCAGCAATCCTTTGGTCTATCTTGGTTGACCATGATTGAAAGGAGCAGTCATGCTCGAATAATATTGGCATTTATCCCGTGGTACTACCGCTCTTGCCCTCTATACCGTCACAATTCCTTTGTCGCCCTCTGTATATGTTTGTATTCACATGTATATATGTTGGGACATGCATGCATACGTAGGGATGTCGTAGCACAGCAGGCGCACAGAGAGGGACGGTCCGGGACAGGGGGGGAGCAACATGTGTTTTTTTGTTTTTTGCACCCTCCTCCCCTCCTCACCCTGCCGTGCGGCGGCATGGGGCCGCGGGCTTCCAGCCTGGAGGAATGCATCCCCAAATAAAGCTGCACATTCAATTCCACTTCACTACATGCATCTATCGATCGCGGATTCTGATGTCAGGTTTTACTTTTAGTGATGGATTAAAACTCGTATTCGGTCATACATGTTTTACGGAACACGGTTTTGTAATATTAACCATAGAGTGTGAACATGGGCCTGCAATGCGTCCCGTTCTGTATGAACACAATTACATACGTATATATACATACATGTATATATATATATATATCCATACACTGTATGTGTGTGTATATATATATATATATGTTTGTGTATGTGTTGTCTATACAAAGTTGATACGAAATATACTATAGAGGTACAAGCACAGCCTCACCCTTCTTATGTATATTATATGCACATGTAAGTAGTGTTACTATTTGTGCTTTATATAGTCTATATGTTTTATCTGCTATGTCAGCTCCCACTGTCTTTTACATATAAACAAGTATGTATACGTATATGTCGATCTGTACGATCTTGCTACATATCCTACATACAAGAAGCATACCTTTAAGTTGCATATATTATGTGTGTATTTATACATGTAGACTCTATGTATACATATATATATGTGTGTACATATCGATTGCCTGTTTGTTATTTATCTCTGTCTCTCTGCTTGTATAAATACATACATATATATATATATATATACACGTTTATTTCTTTCTTTGTGTATTTGCATATCATTCTTGTCTATATACATACACATTAAATAAATAAGTAAATAAGTAAATAAAAATGTGTATATATATATAATGCACGCTGTATATTTTATGTTAATTATGTGTGTATACTGTCTACAAAAGAATATGCACATACTTAGACACAGATATAGGTATGTACACGACACAAAGTTTCAATTTACTGTGTACATTATATACAATATGTACATATAGCTAAATGTATGTGTGTATACATACTCTGTAGACACTACATACTCCATCAGCCCTCTATGCATTTCCAGATTCTTTGTTCTGTCTATGCTACATACTTGCCTCCGTACTATACTATGCGAATCTGTCCGCGCATGTGTTTATATGTATGTACATGTAAGCATGTATGTGTTTGCATGTATTCTTCTATACATGTTCTGTATACATATGTAACTACAGTGCTACAACACACTTGTGGACGCATCATCATGGGTTCGGGCTTGATGTTCACCCGGGAAACCCGTTCTCCAATCCATACCCAGACGGCGGAGGAACCACTTTCTTGGGGGTCGTCGGCGGACAACTCCCATGTCTTGACATGCTGCGGACCATCGTTCGCACATGGGCTCCTGTAAGGCCCATGCTGCAACTTGCCGACGATAAGTTCTTTAGGGTCTAGGGTTCATCCTGGTCCACTGCTCAACTGATGGACAAGAGTTGGGGATTGAAAGGGGCCAAGGGGTTGCTCGCACTTAGCCTTCTTAGCAATCGTCGATCGTGTGCTGGTCCCAGCCTAATCACTTGCTTGAATGCTACCGCCGATCTGTGGCAGTGTACAGACGGCCTACAGAGGTTTTGCAGGACTTTACTTCTGGGTGGTTCGTTTGTGTCTCTGTGCCTGAGGCACTTAGCAGACTTAGCAGCATCCCGAGAAGCAACATGTCGCTAGTGCGTTGCGCAGATGCAAGCCAGAGCCATAGTTTTGCAAATGGCGATCTCGGCCAGCGCTCTGCTTTTCCGACTTTGAACCAGCAGCCAGACGTCAGCTGCCAAGGGGAAATTCCGCCAGACTGCTGCTCCTGTGCTTACGTTACATATACATATCGCAGACAGTCGTGGCTTTGCTGATGATAGAGACAACGAAGTTCATGCCGATAACTACGATGATGTGGGTGATCACAGTAAGGTGACTGCAGCAACCGCTGCTCCCTTCGCTTCTGCCAACACTACCCAAGCCAATGTCGCTAGTACTACCAAGAGGTAGGAGTAGGAGTACGGCCATGAGAAACTGTAGTTTCAGAATAGCAGCAGCAGCAGGAGACTAGAGGTAGTAACAATAATAGTAGTAGTAGGGGTAGTTGTAGTGGTAGTCGTAGTGGTGGTAGTAGTAGTAGCAGTAGTAGTGGTAGTAGTAGCAGCAGTAGCAGGAGTAGGAGTAGGAGTAGGAGTAGGAGTAGTAGTAGTAGTAGTAGTAGTAGTAGTAGTAGTAGTACTAGTAGTAGAAGTAGTATTAGTAGTAGTAGTAGTAGTAGTAGTAGCAGTAGAAGTAGTAGTAGCAGTAGCAGCAGTGGTAGTAATAGTGGTAATAGTGGTAATGGTGGTAATAGTGGTAGTTGCAGTAGTAGTAGTAGTAGTAG